ATACATACTTTTTTTTTAGTTTTGCATACATATTCTTTTTAAGTTTTGCATACATATTCTTTTTAAGTTTTGCATACATATTTTATTTTAGTTTTGCATACATATTTTATTTGAGTTTTTGGTACATATTTTATTTTTGTTTTGTTTTTTACTTTTTTTCGTACATAATTTTACATGACGCCGTTTGCAAAGTAGGTTTGGATAATTACGCCATTTGTAAAATACCATTTTCAAACACTTCGCCATCTGTAAATTACAGTACCCCATTTGCAAACGCCATTTGCAAATACCAACATTTTCATTTTTGGAGTTATTAAAAAGATAATAACACTTTTAAGTATATATATATATACAGAGACATAGATATCATTTATACTTTTTTCTAAATCAGTGGAATATAAGGACCTATTTAGATCTTTTATTGTGCATTATTGTAATACACCAGTCATTTATAACCACCTCCCTTGCCCCCGGGGGAGTGCGGGTTAAAAAAGAATCGTGTGATGTCTGCGCTGTTCCGGGGCATAAGGCAGGAATGTTATTATCTAAATATCCCCCGCAGGGCGAAGATTTTACCAGTGGTCGGCTTGGTTTAAAGTCAATGCGCCTCCCCCCGCTATACTCAGGGGGTGGGGTTGTGAGGTGCATATTCATTCACCAATCAACAGCCCTTTCCAAATAGACACTAATATAATAGTAGATAATAATTTTAAAAAAATACACTAATTATATAAAGTACATATGATTTAAAAAATGGGCCGAAAAAGGTCGGCCGAAACCAGACTTGCGCGGCCAAAAACGACTGGGCCGATTCCAAAAAATGGGCCGAAATGTGACCAAACTACTGTGAGATGAGATGTGAAGGCTGTTTTGATTGGCTAAAATATGTACGAAAAACCAAAATAAAAAATGTACGAAAAACTTTAATAAAATATGAATGCAAAGCTCAAAAAAAAATATGAATGCAAAACTGAAAAAAATATGTATGCAAAACTTAAATAAAAATATGTATGCAAAACTTAAATAAAAATAAATGCAAATGTCACTTTTATGCCACCGTAATTTTTGTTATATGAACAAATTATTATTATTATTGGATATTTTAAGTGGTAAAATAAATGAAACTTTAATCACTTAAGCATCATCAAAGAATTGACCGCCATCTTGAACTCCACCTCAAATAGTTCAATGTCGAAGATCGAAAATAAGTCAGTTCTCAGTATTTAAGCAGAACTCAGATTACACCTTTAGACCTCTGGAACCCAAAGTGCGTTGATATGTAGCATATTAACGCACTTTGGGGTCAATTTCTCGATTTTGACCCCAAAGTGCGTTTGACCCCAAAGTGCGGCGCGAAGTTTAACGCACTTTGGGGTTCGACCCCAAAGTGCGTTTGACCCCAAAGTGCGGTGTTACAAAGCTGAGCCTGAAACATTTTATAATTTTGCTGTTTGCACGTTCTTGTTTGTTTCAGTTTTTCTCTAGTTTAAATGGAAGCAACTCGTGTTTACCATATTGTTTTTTCTTTTCTGTCTATCTTAGACATACTATTCTAACTGTTTATAAACAATTAAGTTATTGGCAGTGTGCTTTTCAGGCTATACAGAAACGTTCTTATCATTTTTTAAAATTATAAATAGAATGGAATAATGAATATTTGTTGTGACTGGCTTACAGTATATACTGAGTGGACTTCAGTTAGTCCATACCTAAAGGTATCCTGATTCCTCCAATCACTGTGTGAAATAATTTTTTTTATATTTAGATTGTTAATAAATAAGCCTTGTTAAAATGAAATATAGAATATTAAAGGTATGCTTATAGGTACACATGTCCAGGTAAGACTGAAATAGAGAAATGCTAAATCCTTAGGGACCAGTTACACAGACGGTCGGTCCCAAATCGGTTATTTAATTTTAGATTTACTCGCTGTTATGATCGGTTGTCATGCGTGATTTTATTTCTGGTTTTCTGTGTAAACGGCCATCGGTGACAGAAAGCAAACTCAAACGGGGTTGGATCGGTGATAAAAATGCTGAAATACTATCGTTTTTCATCGTTTGTAAATCGGAGCTTAATCGAGCATAACGCTGATTAATCGGTGTTTGATAGCTAGTCATGAGTGGTTAAACACTTTCTGTCAGATATGGCCGGTGATTCATATTTGGTCATCTTTGTCCAATCGGTGATATCGGTGATTAAGAGCTTGCATATCTCATGATTTAGGTTGCTGTCGGTTATTTGAAAAATATTTTCACCGATCAAGAATTCTAAACATGTTTAAAAAAATCCCTATCGGTAATTTTTCACCGATAAAACTTATCTTTCCCCAATAGCTTTTGATAGGTGGAAACAGGTGACCAATAGGTGATATCAGTGTTAAATACGTTGTCATTGGATCACTCCATAATTTAGCTAAAACAACTACCGATCAATCACCGATGGCTCTGTGTAACTGGGGTGTTAAGTTAATCATCAATTTTAAACAAAGTTTATGTATATACAGTCTGTAAATTAAAGACAGTCGTTATAATAGAGTCTGGTGAAAGGTTGAAAGAGGGACAGTATTTGTTTTTTTATAAGAGATATGCAATAATGCTTAGACACCACTCCATTATTATAAGATGTTAAATGGATTCCTATATGTTTAACAGATACTGGGAATTATTAATGTTATATGTATATAGATATGATGAGACTGTATAATATACATGTTTTTACAGAGTTCCAGTTTACACATGGTTTATGTGATAATTAAAATGATAATACATTGACTTAGTCTTTTCTTAAGAACAGGTGTTTTTATTATATTAGACAACCAAATCACATAAGTCCTATCTAGCTATTGTTTCTACTTTAATTTTATGTTATTTAAATAATTTAAAATAAGAGGTTATTTTCTCCAATCTGAAACTTTGCCATATGTCAGTTGAGAAAAAGGTATGTTTTGAATTAGCCGGTGTGGCTAGGAATTTTGGGTCCCGGTTTGCCACGGTTTTGTCCAGTAGCGCCGTAGCGATGCCATGAAGTACCAGAACCTTGGTGAACTGGGGCAATCCGGGAGATCACCACGGTTGTATTTAAATGTTTAATACAACTGGGGCTCACCGGCACTCACCGGGAAGGAAGCTCAGAACCGAACCGTGCTCTATCAGCTTGTCACCGGGAGACACCGGGGAACCACTGTATCTATACCCCATTCATACCGTGACAAACCTTAGAAAACCGGATGCGTGTTAATCAATGTCAAAACATGGCAGAGCCCCGGTGATGACACGATATCGCCATGGTATAAACAGACAGAGCTATGGTAGGATATGGTACATTAAGGTTATTGGCAACAATGCTCCAGTTGGACCCGGTAATGTCACAGATATTGCCGGCAAGTCCCTGTTATACAACGGTGGTGTCGCGACCTCATGCAAGGAATTTTAGGAACAGGTATATATACACTTGAAGTGCTACTCTGGATGATTTTGTTAAGTAAAGACAAAGAAGGGCCATTCTCTGCTTTCCTTACTGTTCTTCCCTGAGTCATTTCCAAAGGTACCTCAACCTCTGTAGGCATTGTAAGAACAGTTTTTCAAACTTTGTTCCATTTTCCTTTGGGTGGCATCTCTGCTGTCTTTTACCAAATGACTGATGTCATTGTTGTCAAGCAGTTTATTCTCATTACTTGAATCGGGAAGCATCGGAGCATTATCCGGCGTCACCGGGACAGTACCGGTATTACCAGTAGCTAAACCGTGGCAAAATCGGTGATGGTCGGGATAGATCGTGATAAAACCGTGTCTAGTCGGGTCACCACCGGGATAAACCGAGAATTCACCGGGTTAGCATCGGCACTTACCGCATACGTATATCAGGTGCTATATCGGCTACTGAACTGGGAATACACCTGGGCTATGTCGGGGATGTGTAAACGCAATTTGATTTTTCAGAAAAAACACCACGGAACCCCTTATAAATATTATTTATGCTAAATTCAAGTTATGAAGCCTAAAAACATTTTCGAACCAGATATTTGAACCCTTCGGCCCATAAATTGGACACTACAGACGCGGAATGGTATTCCGAGTGCATGGGGTTCGAGTCCCTGCCAGGCTGTTACATATCAATATATATATCTGTAAATTAGGAAAAGAAAGAAAAACGGGAAGGAACTGTCTAAATTTAATATTACCCAAAATAGGATTCGGACAGTCTTTGAAGAAACAACAAAAGATAGTAAACTAGTAAATGGGGCGGAGCGACTAGTCTGATTACTATCACATGATGTCTGACAACCTCATATCGGATATTTTGTTACGCATATACACATAATTGCTGAATTGAATATCAAAAATGTTGAAATTAAATAGTAATTAAAACCTAATCGTATGTAAAATAGGATTAAAACTAATCTTCGGCGTAAAGCACGTAGAAATCTGGTATTCACCACGTACGATGTCACAAACTTTAATGTAAATATCACAATAATATTTCTTTATATAATATTTCTTTTCTTCGAAAAGACATTGAACATCTTTTACATGTTTAAGAAACCCGAAATTTACAAAATATATTTATCTAAGATATTCTTGAAAATCTCAATAGTAACAGACAGAAAACACGGTACACAGTGACTACTTAAACGTTTAGACGAACGCAGACGCACGCAAAACGTTTATGGGGATAACAAACGCACGCTTTCAAACGCACGATAAACGATACACGAAAAACGATAACAAACAAAATTACACTGCGATTGTAATCGCTAAAGTACTGAGATTAATGTTTTGAAGTTGTCTGCAATAGTCATATTTTCAAAAAATATCATGAATATAAAAACTGTTTTGTTTTGCCTCTTATCCTTGTGATAACAGAGTCTAAATTCATAAGTGTCATGATAAACTTGGGAAAAATAATGACTGAAATAGATTATTGTAAAACAAGTTTTACTTATACTACGTACTTAATTGCATACATAAGTAACAGGAAACGTCTTGTTGACACACTTGATTACAAACAGATTGATATTTGGAAATGCTTGACTTTCGAAACAACACGCAATGTTTGCGCATTTAAATTGAGTTAAATTCACAAGATGTGTTCATTATTGGTTTATTTACTTCCGGTAAGTGATTTAATTATATATTAGTTAACTACATTGTGCAATTATATTAATATAATTTTTGAAGGTTTTTTAATGTTTTTGTTGTTGTTTTTTTTTGAAAATAGTAAAAAAAATAACCATTTATGACTGAAGTATGGCAAAATACACAATGATAATCATTTATGACTAAAATATAGCAAAAAAAAAGCCACAAAAAACACTGGCATTTAAATTTAAATGGTAATCATTTATGACTGAAATATTGCAAAAAAACAACACACCTGCATTTACCCATTTGTAGCATTATTGTTTTAAACAGTTGTATTGTGTATGGTGTATTTGATATGTCGCAGTAAATAAGGCCATCTTTCAAGTTTTCACTCCTGTTTGAATTTGTTATTTTGTCCGAAGTTTCAATCATTCAAGATTAACAAACTTTTCTCTTTTTCTGAAAATAAACACATACGAAATATTTTCCCATTAAGTACTTGGAATCACATGTAAAGAAAAGAAATATGTTAGCGTAAATGATAGACAGAATATACTTGTTTGAAATATTTGCAATACATCTTTTCAGTTAAGTCTTTACGGCAGATGAAAACTGTTGTTTTTCTATGGAATAGTACATGTAACACGTCTATAATGCTGAAGTATCGTTTATTGACTGATTTGATACAGATCATGGAATGCCTTGATAAAATTAGTAGGCGGGGCTTATTAGTTATACATTTTGAGCAATGAAGGTATACACAACAGTTCTCCCTCCTTATTATATTAGTCCATTATCATAATTATAATCATTACTGATAAAGTAATCAAATAACAAGATGGAGACAACTGGTAGAATAATATAACAACATGAGATATTCGAGATTAATCAATTCATAAACCAGATCAAACTATTGACTTATTTTTCTTAATTCACCTTTGACTTTTTATTACAGTTAACATAAGTTCATTTAGTGAAATCTTTCAGCATAGTAGTGTAATTTTTAATTAGATAGCACATTTACTGTCTGCTCGCTCTCGAATGTTTATACAGTTACGTAGTCATCTCAGTATGAGAAACGATTAGGTGGTTTGTATGGTGGCTGATTTGTGCCATTCCTAATTTCGCCCGGGACCCAGCCAAGCGAAAAGTCGAGAACTAACAAGTTAAAACGGCGGGTCGCGTGACAAAAACACGCTACTTAGCGAGGGCGAGGTGTTAAGTTTAATGAATAAAACTTCGCCTCGCGCGGGGGCGGGACGAGATTTAAGAAATAAACGGCGGAGTCGCGGAGCGAAAACACGCTTATTAGAGCCACGCAAATAAGCGTGTTTTCGCTCCGCGAACCCGACATTTTAACTTGTTAATTCTCGACTTTTCGCTTGGTGGGGTCGCGGGACGAAAACACGCTTATTAGCGGGTGCGTGTGGCAAAGTTTTATTTTTTAAACTTCGCCCCGCGCCCTGGCTAATTAACGTGTTTTTGCTCCGCGCCCCCGTCATTTTAACTTGTTTCTTCTCGACTTTTCATTTGACGGGGTCGCGGGACGAAAACACGCTGATTAGCGAGGGCTTGCGGCGAAGTTTTATTAATTAAACTTCGCCCGCGCTCTCGCTAATTAGCGTGTTTTTGTCCCGCGACCCCGCCGTTTTATTTCTGAAATCTCGCTCCGCGCCCCAGCGGGACGAAGTCTTAATTAATATTTAACTTTGCCCCGTGCCCGCGCTAATTAACGTGTTTTCGCCCACGCCTCCCGCCAATTCACTTTAATTATTTTCATTTAATGATGGCATTTTATCAGGATTACCAGTTAGTATCAAAGTGTCATTTTTCCTTAACACTTCTCGAACTCTTTTCATGACATCAGGAAAAAAAAAGCTGAGCCCATATCGACTTCCATTCGTATGGGTCTGTCGTCTGTCTCTGGTGTGATGGTGATTTTCCTGCTTGATCTTTTGGTCACAGATTTATTTTTTAATCATCACAGGAACGTCGTCGTTGCTCGTAGCATGTACGTCTCGTGCACCTACTTTCAGACAAATACTTTTTATTTGTCCCTGTGCATTACATGCATGACAAATGACATTCTTAAGGATGCATGATTGTCATTACCACAGTGAATACATTTTCCGTTTTGTTTCTCGGAAGAGCTCGCGTGCGCCGCTTTTTGCCGTGGCCTGTGTTCAACTCTTCTCATAGGTTTCCTTTTCTCACTCTCATTCACATTTGCGGTCTTTGACTGAAGTTCTGCGGCTTCCCTAATTGCTGTTTCTATAACAGCCTTTTTAAAACTTCAGTCCTCCATCGACAAGAGTTTACGCTTTGTGTTCTCATCTTTAAGTCCACAAACTAAGCGGTTTTATATTTTCAGGTATTTATGACACATTGGAGCCAGATTGTCACGAGAGATATTTCAATTGACCAAATACTGGCTGAGAATGATGGTAATAAAGGTATGAAATAAAATTAAATGTAATTAAAACATCATTAAAAACAAATTTTCAAAAATAGCATTGCATTAAATTTTTATATTGAAGAATATTTCAGCTTTCTGTGGCTGTGTTGTTAATGTCGTTAAGTTTAAATAATTTTTGTCTTTAACCGCTATACCCAGAAATATTGGAGTTTTTCATGTAAGGAAGCTTTCATGGAATGTTGGACGGAGGGACACCTGCTATATTCCTCCGCCAGTAAAGCTGAAGAGTCGCTGTATCACAATTACATTGTCAATGTGACTTAAAACCACAAAAGCAACAAAAAATTACGACTTCATGAAAATATCATTCAATAATCTACTACAATTTCTGTTTGTCTGATAAAGTATAAAATTATTATTTTCATTTGCACTTTGTGCGTTATCACTTTATTTATAATACAAACTTTAATCGAAATATTTACTTTCTAATAACCAGAATTAATTATCGATAAATGTGATACATTGTTACGTATCACAGAATCAACTTATGGAACGAAACCTTTGATTAATTTCAGAGTATGTCAGCGACAATGAAAGTGCTTTGATGGAGCTTGATATGATCGTAGATAAAATTGACAGGTAAGAATGTTACACTAAGTAAAATAATTCAGCTACAGAGTTTATTCATAACAATATTCATTTCCATAGTTAAAGTTTTCTGGTCGGATTTGAAAAAGACATTTTTGTCTCTGCAAATCTGCACTTACTGTTTACCGTATATTACACGAAATCGATATATCGTTAATATACAGCAAAACATCAACCATGATGCTGTCGTGATCATCGTGAACACAGTTTATAGTTTGTGTCATATATTCACATTTGGTATGACCCAATCAATTTCCGAAAAGATAAACCTATGTACCTTCCTGAAAACGATATCTAAATAAAGATTACAAAATGGTCACATTTTGTTAACCCTTCATTTATATAATAAGATGAAGTTACCTCCTCTTTTTATAATCCACAATTTGTCTCTTCCTTGGATGGCCCCTGATCACAGGTTCGACTGCATATATTTGTTTGCTTTACTTATGAACTTAAATATTTACAACAAAAACATTCATAAGTAGCATCACCATCATCATCATCATCAGCAGCAGCAGCAACATAATCATAATAATCATCGCTTTTACTGGTGTAACTTTAATTGGCACGGGCATCATCCTCTAATGTAGCAGACATACTCAGTATTGAATTACAATTACATTGAAGTTGTAACAAGATGCCTAAAGAGGAGTCCGATACTGACGAAAGTAGAAGTAAACGACTATGTTGGATTTTTCTACATATACAATACCGCGACTAAAATGTATATCAGCAAACAAGTGGTAGGTACATATAGGACAATAAATCATTATCAATATATCGACGACAAAAGAATATTTGCGATGATCATTTTAATGTTTAAAATAGTTTGTGTTAAGATAGATATGCGTAGTTATATAAGAGCAGCAGGTTCTTGTAGTTTATTTTAAGAAAAAAATTGAAATCTTCATTTCATTTATGTCCATCTAGTCAGGAGCGTTACCGTGCAATTGTTGACAAAGACGAATCATTACGTTGGCAGAGAAATATTCCATTTGAAATTGGCAATGGTATTGGTAGGTTCTGTTTTTATTGTTGACTAGTTTTTAAAGTTACATTAAATAAATATATAAAAATATTTTGCCGTCGGCCTAAAAATCAAACATTCTACAGTTTCATTAACCTTTTTAATAGTATTGTTGTAAATCTCATCAAATATTGTTAATAAATTAGGATTTTAAACGGGAAACCCCACGGTAACACTAAAGTTCGTATACGAATTCTAACATGCAAATGAAGACTATAATGAGCTCGTGTATGCGCTACGTCACAGTTTTATAGTTGCTATCCGGAACACAGCAAAAGTGATATTTTCTTGTGCAAACACAGTTTTACCGTTTAAGCTTCACGGTGCACTAAACCTGGGGTTCAGTAAAAGTAATCATCTCGTAAAAAGATTAAATTTGTATGAAAACATCCGTTACAATGCGGAAATATACCGTTAAATTAGGACTGCCACTTATAGTCATGTTTGTTGATTTAATATTGATGCACGGATGATCCGAAGGCGGAGTTTCTCATGCAAACAGAAATTGTACTTCCCATTTCGCCACAATGAGGTTACCTATTTTCATGCTAATAAAACTCATTTTGGTTGTTTGGACACCAAAATAAGACCTGGAGTCGATATAAAACCCAATTTATTAATGAAATGTCGCTATTTAGTTTTTTACGAAATTTATTAAATGTAACTTTAATTTATGATATAATACATATGTTTAGAATTTTTTAATCTATATTTCTAACATAGAAAACATCAGAATAATAAAATGATTAAATTATATAACATGCTTAACATTTCTATTTCTTGAAATCATTATCGTTTGTGCTGTCGTGTCTGTTCAGTAATTCACCGACTTGGGGGGTCTAAATCAGAAGTTCAATTACATATTGTTTTGAGCTTTGAGTGATTTCGTTGCTTGAATGTTAACCGAAATAGATCGGATTTTTTTCCCTGAAGTGTATCAGCTAAATATACACTAACTTGTTCAAGGCCTAAAATTTACAAATAGTTTTCAAAAGCAAACAGTTAGCGTCTGAAATTTATTTTTTGCAACGCATGTTAAATCAATAACATAAATTTGACAGAGACATGCCGAAATTTTGTCTAACCTTTGGGACATAATACAATTGCAAATGATAATGAACGAGTGCATTGCGCTTTAACTTATTAATATGAATGTCTAAGCGGACATCATTGTGAATCAAGTCTTAATTTGACATTTTAGAATTATAGACACTTTTTTCTAATGCCTTATATTTACACCATTGTTTTTGACCGAGACTATTTAATAATGATCGAAATTTAAGTAGATGATTCATTTCAATTCAGATGAACGACAGGAACTAGCTATCCGACGGGCAATTCCTCTGTGGGAACAGTACTCATGCCTTAACTTCTATGAAAACAAACAGGTGTACAACAGAATAGTGTTCAAACTTGGATACCATAACTTGTAAATATATAAATGAGCCGTGTCACGACAAAACCAACATAATGGGTTTGCGACCAGCATGGATCCAGACCAGCCTGCGCATCCGCGCAGTCTGATCAGGATCCATGCTGTTCGCTATCGGTTTCTATACTTGTTATAGAGTTTGTAAGCGAACAGCATGGATCCTGATCAGACTGCGCGGATGCGCAGGCTGGTCTGGATCCATGCTGGTCGCAAACCCATTATGTTGGTTTTGTCATGACGCGGCTCAAATGTTGATATGCATTTCTATTTTGTCTGTGTCTCAAGGATCATTTACATTTTTTGAACAAGGCTTACTTAAATTAATAAACAGACTTGTTCAACTCAATTCAACACTTGCTGGTTGACGTGCGTTTTTCAGCATTTTTTCTTTGTTTTTATCTGTGACTCATTGAATCATATGATTTTGAAATTATATATTTTACTTTAACTGCTAACTTGCCAATCATCATCATCTTGATATGGTTTATTACTTACAATTCTACTAGAAAAACAATCCTTTTCGTTCTTTTGATCTTGCGCTGTCAGTTTTTTTACTGTCAATGTTATTTTTTATAAGTTTGACATTGTTAGTTATTTTCTATAGTTTGTATATAACCCGAGTTTTTTTTCCCTTAAGAAGGTTAAAAGTTGTTTTTTTTAACTTTATCCAAAACATTTTCAAAAATATTTTCGTACTTTTCTGTACATTCGTACTTGTTTCTTTTTTGGTTCATGTATCAGTAGTTTTACATAGTTTTCAAATAGATATTTGACTTTGGTCAATATTATGTATTACTGTAATAAAGTAAGTTTACTTTACATTGATTTTTTGTCATTTGAGTAAAATGGTGAACTGTACTATTTAAATAGGTGTGCGTCAGAGGTTGGAATGAAACAAGGACCTCAGATAATTTCTCTTGGGGAAAAGTGCTTTGAGGTATTCTATTAGCAAATATTGTACATTATCAAACATGGAATTAAACTGTTGGTAATGAGAGTAACATGACACATTTATCAAACCATTTAGCTAGACATTCTATCGATTGTGACAGATAAAAAGTAAGGTACTGGTGCGGTATTTAGCACGTACATTTGTATATAATATGTTGGTACTGTTTTTATACTTTGTATCGATATAAAACGCATGATAAAATTTTCTAATGAGTAAGGATTATGATGAACTATTATATCTCTATATATTGCAATACATTTGTTCGCGACTCTGATTAAATCCAAATAAATATTTCGTTTCGACAATTTTTTAAGTATTTCTATGGTGCTTAATGCTCAACGATAAAAATTCATTACATATGCCTATAATGCACATTTTTTATTTCAGCCAGAGATAATTCTTCATGAGATAGGACACGCCCTGGGATTCTATCATGAACATAATCGTTGGGACAGAGATAATTACATTGAAATACACTACGAAAATATTGAACCTGGATATAATAAATCCTTCATGAAACAGAAACCAGAATATACGGATTTCAATCATGATTATGATTATTTAAGTATAATGCACTACGGACAGTATGTAAGTATACACTTTTCTTTATGATTGGATCAGATATATATTAAATAGTATAATAATAATAGATAATATAGATAATCATTTTATTTGAAATTTAAAAAATAAAAAGTAAATTGTGATATGTCATTCGTTTTTTTTTACTTTCGGTTCAAAACACCTGTGATAAAACTATTTTCTTTATGTAAGAAATATCATTGAAAAGAAAATCAGACACTTTTCTACAAATAGGTAAATTGCATTTAGTACAATTTGTAAAAAAACAAAACTTTTTTTAAAATTTTGACATTATACTTTTTTCGTATGTTTCCCCATTACATATCAAAATGATTTCTATGAATTTGATATTATCATTAACTTGCAAAGTAATTGTCGTTATATCATTCATACATGTTAAAGACATCACTTGTTCCTCCGTGCATGAGTTCAGGCACGAGTGGTTGCCTGAGGTTCAGCATTAATTCTCCCCTGCCGATAGAATCGGGAGGAGGATATTGTTTTGGCGTTGTCCGTCCGTCCATTCACCTTTCCGTCCGTCCGTCCAAATTTCCTCTCCGCGCTAGTTCTCTGCAACTACTGGCTGGAATTCAACGAAACTTTATGGGAAACTTCAATACCAAGAGGGGGTGCGCATATCGTCGTTTTGTTCCAGCCAGACCTTTAAACTCAAAGTTATTGTCCTTGATGAGTGATTCAGTATGCATATAGACCAATAATAATTTCCGCGATATTTCTCTGCAAATGCTGGCTGGAATTCAATGAAACTTTATGGAAACCTTCAATACCAATAAGAAATGCTCATATCGTAGCCTTGTTCCGGTCAGAACCTTTAACTCAGAGTAATGGCCCATGATTAGTTTTGCAGTATGCATATAGAGCAAAAATCGTTTCCGTGCTATTTCTCTGCAACTCCTGGCTGGAATTCAAGGAAACTTTATGGAAACCATCAATACCAAGAGATAATGGGCATATCATCGCTTGTTCAGACCATTTAACTCAGAGTTATGGACCATGCTAAGTTATGCAGTGTGCATATCGAGCAATAATCGTTTCTGCGCTATTTCTTTGCAACTACTGGTTGGAATTCAATTAAACTTTATCGGAACCACCAATACCAAGAGGATTTGCGCATATCCAGGCATTCTTCTGGTCAAACCTTTCGACATAGAGTTATGGCCCTTGATTAGTCATACAATATGCATATAGAGCAATAATCGTTTCCGCCCTATTTCTTGAAACTTCTGGCTGAAATACAAGGAAACTTGAGTGGAACCATCAATTCCAAGAGAAGATGCGCAATATTCAATGCTTTGTTCCGTCAGATCCTTTAACTAAGAGTAATGGCTCTTGATTTGTTACGCAGTATGCATGTAGAGCAATAATCATTTCGGCGCAATTTCTCTGCAACTGTTGGCTGGAATTCAAGGAAATTTTATGGGAACCATCAATACCATTAGGAGATGCGCATATCATCGCCTTGTTTCTGTCAGACACCATCAAGACAGAGTTATGTCCCTTAATTAGTTATGTAGTATGCATATAGAGCAATAACCGTTTCTGCACTATTTCTCTGAAACTACTGTCTGGAATTCAACAAAACTTTATGGGAACCAGTAATACCAAGTGGAAATGTGCATATCGTTGGTTGCCTTGCTTTGTTCAGACCCTTCAACACAGAGTTATGGCCCTTGATTAGTTATGCATACTTTAGAGCAATAATCGTTTTCTCGCTGTTTGACACGGAATTCAACAGTCAATACCAAGAGGAGATGCGCATATCTTTGCCTTGTTCAAGTCAGACCCTTCAAAATAGAGTTATGGCCCATGATAGGTTATGCAGTATGCTCTTTGTTTCAACTGCTGGATTGATTACAACAGGACTTTATGGGAACCATCAATACGAAAAGGAAATTTGCTTGCCGTGATAAATTTATATAAATAAAGCCATATGTCTCCAGTTGTTGTGTAAGTAATAACCAGTACTCGGCGGGGGATTTTAATTCAACGAATCTGCTTTTTTTATTTTGAAAGAGTTGGATGCGAGCTACACTGATATAATATTGTTTTTTGTCTTATTTCTAATTAAGAAGGATTTACTTTTCATTGACGCGTCTATAGTTTCTCGCTAACATAACAGTACTTTTACGTTATAAACTATATTTACTACCATTATTTACCATACATATATATTTACATGCACATATTCAAAAAAGAAATACGTAATGGGAAGTGATGAGAACGAAATACGTCCAGTGTTCTTTTTGTTTGTCGACTTTTGACGATCTGTAGTGTCTCATTTAATTTTGAACGATTTTAATAGAATTTTGAATAATCATACTTTGCGATAAAGAAACGCGTAGTGTTAAAGTCTAATAGCTCTACCAAATGTGTGTTTGTCTCAGTGAATATTTGTGATCTTATTCTTGTTTTCAAAATATTTCAGGTATTGATTTGAATGTTTATGGATATTCATGGCTAATAAGATAAATATAAAGTGTCAAAACTCATTGAATTTGCTTTATCTGGTCAAGGAAAACCACTACAGATAATTGTTTGCTTAAACAAGTTTTATTTCTAGGGTGATCAAAAGGTTAATCGAGGTTATCTCTGTTACATTATAATAATTTTTATTTCTGTTACAAGCATTCAACTACACAACCTGCCACATACATTAAATGCTCTATATTATTCTAAATAAGAAAGTGTATATTTAATATCCTACTCTTTTTTTCAGTTTTACTCAAAGAATAAGTCTGCAAAACTTATCACAATAAAAACCAGAGATCCAGCATTTCAAACTAAAATAGGAATGGTCAAGCATCCGAGCTTTCAAGATTATAAAACTTTGAATGCTATGTATAAATGTGCAGGTAAATCTAAGGTTTTGGCTGAAAATAGTGTTATTTGGTTTGGTTGAATAAAGTGTTACTTTTTTGGCTGGTAATTGTGTTATCTGATTTGGCTGAATATAGTTTTATCTCAGTAGGTTAAATATAGTGTTTTCAATTTGACTGAATATAATTTAATCTTAACTGACTAAATACAATGTGATTACATTCATAAAAACAGAGTGATGTATTCAACTCATGTTGATATATTTTAGCTTGATTTTGTGAAAGATACCTCTGGAGAGTAAAACGTCAATTTATTATACATGTTTAACTTGTAAAGAAATTGTGTACTAATTATATATCATATATAATTATAAAAAGAGCATTCATTTCTTATGTACACAAATTTAAAATGTTAATGAATAACTCACAACAGAATGTCATAAAGAAATTATCTATGCAACTTTAGCTAGAAAAACAACTGGTAGCTTTTTCCAACTAATTTCAAACATTAATTATTATAGTCTTAATATCTAATTCATGACTGTGATATTATCTATGTAATACTACTTTTCTCGTATCTAGATGTTTTATAAATGTGATAATATGTTTATATGTATGTATACACGACATTAGTGTTGATGGCAATAGACATTATGTCTGTGCCTTAATAAAATCTTGAATCTTGAATCTATATTGACAAACTTAACTTTATCATTTAATGTTACAATATTACTGAATATTGTTTTTCTTTATTTAGTTGTTGAACTTTAGTATTTCTAGACAAAGTAAAAGAGCTGCAATTTTTATATTTGTGTATCTAGAGAGATTTCGACTTGATTTAACTTTTAAAGAGAATATTACGTAGAAAAGAACACTTTAAAAACAGCTAAGGATGTAAATTTACTACCGACCAATACAATTGCAGTCATTTATTGAGAGTTATTTTTAATGTGTCTGCAATATTTTGTTACTGAATAATATTCATCAATTTTTATGTAAAATCTTAGCAATGTTCCTATAAACAATTGTATACATGAAACAACTTCTTTTATTTGTAGATATCTGTTCCACCAAAGTCGAATGTCCGGAGGATGGATTTGTTGGAAAAAATTGCCAATGTTACTGTAAAGGAAAATCTGAGGATAAATCTGTTAGACTTTGCTTTCAAAAAAGTATTTCTAGCATATCATTATATACCCAGAAAATAAACATATCACTGCATAAGAATTATAGTTAGAGTTTTGCCGATTCCCTTTATTATCAAAACCTTACCATTGTCAAAGATAAGACAGAAGAAAAAAGAAACATAATTTGAAACACTGTATAAGTTTTTTATAATAATGCTTAGAAAATAATATCAATAATAATTTTAGAACAAAACTAACTTAAGTCATATCTGTTTAATAAGCAAATGATTTTTTTAATGTGAGGGTTTTATTTTTGTTTTGTTTTTCTAACCACAACAAATAAATATTATATAAATTTGTATATATAAATATTTCAGAGGAATGTCCGAAACCATATATTAATGAATACTTATTTGGTGTAATGAACAAAGACAACACACGCCCTGTCAACATGACCCGTACATCGTTTCCGGACAAAACAATTTTAAATCTCGTCTCAACAAATTGGAATTGTACATTTAATTCTCAGCTAATGTGTGAAGGTGGTCAATGGGATAAGGCGATATCAGAATGCCCAATTGCACTCGGTAAGGTTATTTTTTACACCTGTATTTGACAAAGGAAATGTTAGATGGCGACTATAGGACTCGTAAATAATTTTTGGCGGGTTTTGTTAAAAAAAACACCATGCTTCAGTTTAAAAAGATTAATATATTTTGTAAAAACTTTACTGTACCAAAGAAATAGTTTTATATTAACTGTTTAAATGCAAAAGAAATGTCACTGATAACTTATAGCTACAAGGGTGCGTAATGTCATATTTCTGTTTGTTTGAAATTAATATATCAGTAATGAAATATTGATATGTAGGTGATTATGTATTGAAACCAAATTTTGGTTTGATTATACATATGTTTTATTTTACTCAGTATGAGTGAGTTTGTATTATAATATGTATTATAATATTAGGAATGTTTTATTTCTCTCAGAAGGCAAAATCAAATATTACCTGTACCATGTCCTAATTTGGCTGTGAAGCAGAAGAGTTTAATATGATTTTGAATAAGACGCGTGATTAGCCTCGGAAGGACACGATATATTTTTACGAGTTGTCAATAAAAAAAACCCACAAATACATAAAAATATTCACATACATCAGCCCAATTTTGAATTTCTGGATATGTTGCAAAGCAGTTCTATTTACATTTTCTTCGAATGGAAATACAAGGTTTTATTATATCCGTATATCCGTGGACTGTTTAACTGTATGTAGTTGACCGAGATTTAATATCATGAAAGCAGCCTGAAATAAAATTATGCGTGAACACGTTGTCTCCACCTAAAAGGGAACTGTTTTGCATTTAGACTAAAATCATCGGTGTAAGAGCTGTTACATTAAACTGTCATAAAACATCTGAACTTTCAATGACATTTAAAAACTAGAAATCAGCTTTGTTTTGAAAAAAAATATCTTTTAAAGTTTTGTATTCCTCTTGTGAGATGATTTTGATAGTGTGTGCGTGCGGACATAGTTCGGGTTTCAAAAACTTAAATATCCGCCTTTTATATAGTAAAGCGAGGTCACACGTGTGCTGTTTTATTTTAATTAGGTTTGGTAACGGGTCTGATGCCTTTAATGTCTCATATACATGTACTACGTTTATGCTTAAATTTTATGTTTTATCGTTTGCTTCTTAAAGTTTATGTATCGTCTCGAGTCGAAACGCTTCCCCTTTAATTTCAACAACTGCGCAGATCTTAACAGACATTTGTCTAGGAAGCATTCGGTTCTTCTTAAGATATGCAGTGCACAGCTGACTATTCCTTGCAGCGATTTTACGCGCTTGTAAAAGATTGCTGCATTATACAAAAATATCAGTTTATCTTCTACGGCCAATATTTTGGATGAATTTCGTATCGGAATATTTCTTTTATATAGTTTTAATATAAATCATACATCACTTCCGTGACTTAATTAACTTTAATGGCTATCAAAAACAATTTCCATCCTTGCTTTGACCTTGTGCGTACTTCTGTTTTGTTTGGTTTCATGCTGGGCTCCGTGTCGTTCTTTCTATGTCGCTGGATTTTGTGCTGATATTCTTACTTTTTGCAACAACCGCTCATGTTTATATTTAGCTGATTGTTTTGTACACGATTTATAATGTATCAACCTTGTTAAGCGATGGATCAGTAGATAACTAAACATAATGTTTATGTAGGTCACTTTAGAAAAGCAAGAAACGATAAAGAATTTTCTTTCAATTTGAGATATTGGGGTTACTGATGAAATAGACGGTGTCATTGAAATCATTTTAAATGAGGAATATCGTGGGTATATCTGTGATGATGATTGGGATGATAATGATGCAACTGTTGCTTGTAAAATGCTTGGATATGTGTAAGTAAACCACTATTTATTTTTACAGTAAACAATCTACATCATCCAAGAAAACGACAAAGAAAACAATCTCAAAATAAGTTTTGAAATTTTTAATAATTACAGGGTGATGATAATCGTTTTCGCCTAATTTTACCATTAGTTTAGGAATTAAGATTAATGATAGAGATAAAATTAATAATTCCTCAAAAAGTGATGTGCGTTTTACAAAAAAAAAAGAGTATTTGATGTTGAAAATGATATTTTTCTCTTATTTAAGTGGTGATTATAGCGTACAGTTTGATATTGATATACTTGTATTTATAGGTGAGTGTTGAAAACACATTTAATCAACAATATTGTGGAAACAAATATTGATGTACATACATGTATATGAAAGATATTATAACATATAAGGTATATATTTGCATAATTTTGTTGCCGTTACTGGGAGTGATCTTCTTCAGTTCATTCTACTTAACACTCATTGTGGGAAAACTAAGCTCAATTACATTTTTTAATAAAGTATTTATTTTATACATGTTTTAACAGGAATGGTTTGGCTGACTTTTCAAAACCTAAAGAGGTTAACGAGTCATTACCTATTCTCCTTGACAACGTTCAGTGTAGTGGCGAAGAACTTTCTCTCGCTGATTGCAAACACAATGAATGGGGAAAGCATAACTGTATTCATTCCGAAGTTGTGTCAGTTAAGTGTTTTGCCGATTCATTTACCAAACATATAAATGTTACCACGAATTTACCTTGCGGTAAGAAAAAAATGTCTTTAACTCTTTTTAAGTTATCATTTTTGTGCATTTTCTAGTATTTTAATTTTTATTTATTTGAATTGACTAAATCAAAATATATTATTACATAGGATAAAAACCTTTTAAACATATTGTCTCTAATTCTAATGACTAAACTTTGCACTTCGTTATATGCATCGCCTAAATCAAATGACATGGGACTGTTATTTTCTTATCTGTTGAATTTTTAATTGTATTTGCTTCTTATTTTACTTTTCGGCTGAATTTATCCTTTGAAAATTTACCTGTGACGCTGATAACCTTCAGGTGAAATTAAAGTAAACCATTCAAAGAGAAGGAAACGGCAACTTCGGGTAGCTGGTGGCTTTGTTGCAAATAATGGTATGAATCCATGGCTAGTGGGAATTCAACGAAAGAAACAAGGATGGAATCATTGGTGTGGTGGGACAATTATAAATAATGAGTGGATATTGAGTGCTGCTCATTGTTTTGAGTAAATGTTTCCTTTAATTTTTTTCCTTTAAAGATCGAATTTTATCTGCAACTCAAAGGTAGTTTAAACTTGCAAGAAGTCGTGAGGGATATTGAAATTTCCGTTATTACTTATGTGCAGACTTGATAAAATCAAATACTTCCGAGGCATTTCCCTTTTACCAAATGTTTGTAAGTACAATGAATTAAATCTGGAAACCTTCCACTTTGCAATATAACTGTATACTGATTATGTTTTATATGTCATGCCCATTATCCACAGAAAAAAGAAAAAGACCAGTAATTATCAAAGTATTGCAAGCAATACAATAGTCCCCTACCGGTAAAAAATACAAGAATTCTGAAGGTAAATGGTCATTAACTATGCCATTGTGGAAAACATGAATGAACTTTTGAGTTCTTAGTTTGTATCATGGAAATGTGTAAAGTTATGTGTAAAATAAGGTTTCTACAATGGATACTCAAAAGATCAAATTTTCTCAGGATGAATATGTATAACTAATGAAACTTGTCATATATATATATATATATATATATATATATATATATATATATATATATATATATATATATATATATATATATATATATATATATATATATAATTTCAAGTTCAAAATGAAAATAATCATGAACACCCAGGCGCTAGACTTATAGATGTAATCACATATGATGTTGATGTTAATATTTAACATCTATTTGACATTTGAAGTAAATCAATGACGAAATAATAGTTATAGAATAAATAAGAGAAATTAAAAGTTCAAGGGGGAGATCGTTCTTGAGATTTATTAATCTTGTCATATTATTATGATGTGGGATTTTGAAGTGTGAAGTAAATCATTTAAGAAATGACGAAGTTTGAGTAAATATATCTCAGTTCTATGCTAGAAATAGTCAACCTTTAGTAATGAATCTTCTCACACATGACTTGAGCGATAATAAGGAAAATTTACTTGGAGTTTAATGTAGATACGTTAAGAAATAAAGAAGTTATGAAAAAACAAGTAACATTTCTTCATGAAAATTCTAAAGGTGCAATAATATAAAGCATTGCCACATTTGATATTGTTGATAATAGGAAATATATTATTGAAATTTGAAGTAGACACATAAGAAATAAAGAAGCTATACAAACACACATTTTTTCATGTTAATTCTAGCTTCAAGGGTGTAATTTTGATTATTTTCAAGGGTTTATTAGAGTTGTTACGAGTGTTTGAAGAAAAAAAAGACATTCATAATCTCCAGACTGTTGTCTAGCCATATTTAAAGATTCATGAAAGTATTTTCTATGCTTTTGCGTTATCTTGGGATTCAGCTTTCTTAGACTGACGGATTGACGGACGGACAGACAGACTGACCGATGAAGGGCAAACTTAAAATTTCTTCTGTTTAAAACGACTGAAAGTCGAATTCACACACACATTTTCTCTGTTGTTTCCGTAATTCTTTAATTCTTTTACTTCATTAACAATGTATGTATAATCTTAATAGATAAAATATTTAACGTGAACTTAATGAAAAATACATGCTTTAAAATGAATCTGTATTTTTATGATTATAGTGATTTGAAGCGACAGTATGATGGCATGAATGTAAAATTAATTCTGGGGGACATACGAGTGATTGCTGGAGACCATGATCGTACCAAACATGACGAATATGAAAAGATATTTTACATTGAATATATTGTTAAACACTGGAATTACAGTGGTAAGTACTCATGTCTCTTAAGCATGTTTTCAGTTGGTTGTATGGAAATATTTACGGATATGCATTATAAACAAAATTTTAAACATCACAATTCCAGTCACTGTTCTATGCAAGTGAGTTTATTAAATAATTTTGATAGTATATTGTCATGTTTGTTCATGAAAGGTATATTGTTTTCGTCTATCTTTTCCACATCTGTAGATTATTTTCATTAATTTCAGTTTTAAGTTTAAGCTCTACATCAACTAGCTGGTGCTAGGGGGCGTGAGGGATGTTGCACTTATTCAGCATCCTTCATGTACAGACTCAATCAAACCGAGTCTGCAATTCTTATGCAATTTTGTTGTGATTAATGCTTCCGAGGGATCACTTTGTTTCCAGATTTTTATATTCAACAAATTAATAATTTTTTATTCGTTGTTTTGAATATTACATTAGTTCAGACTTTTCGTTGCAGAATTCGAAAGACGTTACTCTAACAATGATATAGCGTTACTCAAAATAAAGTCATCCGATGGCATAAAATTCAATAACTATATACAACCAGCTTGTTTGCCTGAAGAATTTACCCTGCTTTCATCCGAAACTAAATGTCATGTTTCAGGATGGGGAAAGGAAAATCAACTTGGTAATTATAATAGTATATTACATTAAACCAATACAAATGTTTATATGAAGTAAAGAATGCGTTTAACTCATTGATTATAACAAAAACATAAGGCCGCTATTAACTCAAAACTATAAACTCAAACATAATTATTTTTTACATTAGGTTCACTATCTGAGAAATTAAAAACAGCAGAGGTACCGATAACTCCATGGCACGACTGTAAAACATTCATCGACAAATATCCCATTGATTTTAAAAAGGTGATATGTGCTGGTGATATCAGAGCTGATGCATGCCAGGGAGACTCGGGGGGGCCTCTCATTTGTGAAGTGAACGATAAAAACACGGTGATTGGAATTACATCTTGGGGTAAAGGTTGTAGTCAAGCAAAATATCCTGGTGTCTACACAAAAGTTTCGGAATATATCACATGGATAAATGATCAGATTTCAAACCACGGCTTACAAGGTATGTATTTTTTCTTTAATTTACTCTTGAAGAAATAAATTCTTAACAAAAGCCAAATGAACTACTGTTTTTGTAGACATCTTTTTGTCAACTAAAACATGTAAAACATTTAAATAAAAGGTAACTACTAAAATTGCATTTTGTATTTACATTAGATTCTAAAGCTTAACCTGTAAACGAAGTCAAATGTCTGGAAAAAAATAAACGTTTTTAAAATAAGTATACTTGTAGTCAATATCTGCAGTTATTCGATATTTTCGCCTTTACAGAGGTCTGATTAGGCAATTCAGTTTCAAGTAAAAAGTTAAAAATTCCTACATTTCACTTTCTTCTTTGTAAAGGCAGGCGCAAAGGCAATCATGGAGGTGTGATTATTTATGTTAAAAAATTAAACAATCTTCACAAAGACCGATCAAGACCCAAACCTTTTGAATGTTTTTAGATTGAACTTCAACAGGCCACCTAGTGATTATTCGATTTACCATAGCGTTAAAGGCGACTCTTGTGTCCACTCCAGGTACTTGTTTGGTGCCTTCTGGGTGTCCTGCTTGGGTGTGTCCGGGGCGGCGTCCTGTGAACGTTGCCTTTGCCTTGTTGATCTTTATTCTTGTTATCTTATCTCTAGCTGTCGATACTGGTTTGTCACAATGTTCATCGAAGGCTATTTTAATTTTAACTTCGAAAATCGTAATGTATTTTCAAAGATAGTTTCACTTTTCACGACCTTGTGAAATTAGTTTTTGAACTTCAGGTCTGATATTTTGTGTCTTAGAGCGAAAATGTATTACTGTCTGGTGACTTTTTTCTTGATCAGGCTGTTCAGTTTCAATCTCCTGTCTTGTTCTTTTGTTTCTTTTGGGTTTTTTTGTTTTGTTTTTATGCCGAATGTTTTGCATTTTCTGCGGAAGTCTGTCTGTCTGTTCATAATTTATCGAAAATCTGACAGTAATTACCAATTGCTCCTTGAATGACTGGCTGCCAATCCTATATGATTTCTGAATAAGCGACGAGAGACAAATGTCTTTCTAAAAAGCTGGACTTTTCGCTCCGTGTCCCACTAATTAGCGTGTTTTCGCTCCGCGCCATCCCCGTTTTAGTAGTTAAATCTCGGCTAATCGTCCTGTGCCCCCGCTTATTACCGTGTTTTTGCTCCACGCCCCCTCCGTTTTATACATTCCTTTCATACCCACGTAAATAAGCGTGTTTTCGTTCGCGTCCCTGCAGTTTTATTTCTTGAATCTTGCACAGCATCCCTGCGATGCTATGTTTTTAACTTGTTAATTCTCGACTTCTCGCTTGGCGGGGACACGCGGCGAAAACACGCTTGTTAGCGGGAGCACGGGGCAAAAAAAATGAGCTTTTTTAAATAATTTGGCAGGGCGCGAACAGCAACAGACTGATAAACGCCCTTTAACAATAAATGTTTCTTTTCCCTGCCCCGCCGTATTACAATTAAATCTCGATTTTTCGGCGCACGCCCTCGCTAATTAGCGTGTTTCGCTCCGCGCCCCCCGCCATTTTAACTTGTTAATTCTCGACTATTTGCTTGGCGGGATCGCGGGGCGATAAAACGAAGTGGCTAAAATCAGCCACTATACCAATTATTTCTATTACATAAGATACATAACATGTTAGCAACATTATCAATTTTGTCGTTTTGAGCGTTCTTTAGCGACTCTGGTTTTCTGTATCTTTTCTTAACGATTTACTTATATTTCACCAGCAACTTTCCAGATTTCTTTGTGACTCGATGCACTGTCTTAGGTACCTTTGCAACTGTCATATTTTTCATCTTAAATATTTTCAATTCTCTCTGTTAAATAAGAGAATTATTGACTCCGAATTCATATGAAATTTTAAGTGTTATGCAAGTTTGTTTAACGTTGAAAACGTTCGGTTGTAAATATATGTGAATATTTGAAATTTTCACATGAATCTAGAAACAGCATATAACAAAATATAAATATATGTACTTGTATATATCAAAGAATCTAGATATTTCGAAAACATTGAAATTGGAAATACATTAGTTTGATCCTGTTTAACGATAAAAATTGTGTTAACTGTTTAATATTTGAAGAACGTTTTGAAATTTCACTCATGATGTTGACTTGGACTCATTGGTTTCATAATTAGATATGACTATATGGTAGCAGTTTATTGTATGAATTGAGTGAAATAATAGTTTTGATATTGTTAATGTTGATAATGTTAAGTGTTAAAATGTTCATAAGTTTGGAATTTTGATTTTTTTTACAGTTATAACAGAATACTTGTAACCGTTAAAAGTTGAACAGAGTGAAAATTTAATAATCATTACAAATGGACAGTGTGTTTTTAAAAGTGCTAAAATGTTTATGTTTCTTAAAATTTGTATTAAAGTATATGTTTTTTAATGTTCAAAATAATATTTAATTTGTGATTTTAATATTTATGAATAATGCGCTTGGTAGTACAACTACTGCTAAAACTGCACTTATCCAGGAGGATAAGTTAAAACAAAGGAGGGGGAAGTGTTGTAGTATTTCAATATTTCAGAATATCATAGATGAAGATCTAGACAAAGAAAGAACTATGTCTGAAATAGAGAAAGCTATTTTCAGTCAAAATAATTCTAAATGAAGTGGTGCTGACTCCATAATGAGAGAAAAATATAAGTACTCGTATCCAGAAATATAAAACTTTACGCTTAATTTATTTAACATAATCTTTTTTGACAGGGGAATACCCTCGGGAATAGGGACAAGGCATATACCGAAAAGTGGTAATGTAAAAGATCCTAAAAATTATCGAGGAATAACTTGATAAATATCATAGCAAAAATTTATTCACAAATTCTACTAAATTGTCTTACTTTATGGTCTATAAAACATAATAAAATAACAGACCATCAGTATGGGTTCCAAAAGAATAAATCAACAATACTTTACATTTTCATTTTACACTCATTTGTAGTAAAAACGCTGTCATTGAAAAAGAAATTATATGTTGGTTTTGTAGATTTTGAAAAATGCATCGACAAATTAGAACATGCGTACATTTTTAATAAACTTATACAACAAAAGGTAAGCTCAAAATTCGTAAATGCCATTAAAATCATGTATAGTAATGTTTACGCTACAATTCGATATAATAAACAAATATCACAAACTCTGAATCAAATACCGGCGTAAAACAGGGAGACCCGAGTTCAAGTTTGATATTCTTATTTTTCATAAACGATATTATAAATTATATCAATGCTAATATTGAAGGAGTAATCAACTTTGATGATTTAACATTACCCATGCTACTTTTTCCGACACTTCTTAATTTGCTCATACACCGGAAGCACTACAATCTATGTTAAATGGCCTAGGTACAAACTGTACATGGAATCCTAAAGTAAATACAATAAAAACAAAGATTATGATTTTCGAACAGCGTAGACACACTTCATATGACTTTTATTTTAATGAACAAAAATTAGATATTGTAAACCCATTCATATAACTTATAATTCATCTTTTCAATCAAACTGCTGAAGGCACTGCAGTTGGGACGTACTTGAAGGATCAAAATTACCTTTTTCAACTATTTCGGGGGCAGATTATTCAATGAGAGAAGGGTGATGCCGGTTGATAAATATAAAGTGCACAATTTAGTAAATGAATAGTAGTTGATACAATTATTTATGGCACACATGTTCAAATATAATATTTAGGTTACATGTACGTGATGGCCCATCACACACTGTTATTGGCACTTTCTGACAAGAGCAACAAGTGAAATAAGAGCTGTTAGAGGAATCTGCAAGCTCGACTACTGTAACACATGACATGATAAAGGGAGATAAAGCTATGAAAAAATAATCAATTGTGATATAAATATATTAAATTTGCTGTATCAGTATCAAGAAAACACTCAAATGGTCAATAGTTTTGCATCACAATATATGAATGTGGCCATGTCATTAAAACTTATGATGGCTTTTGTACACTGTACTTCTCATGCTAATCTCTTTCACTGCGTGAAGTTTCAATCAAATTCCTTCAATATTTTAATCCTCTCTCTGAACAAGTATCATGAAATAATATGAACGGAGATAATTTAAAAACTAAGTAATGTAGAATTTTGGTTATTTGACACAGCACATCTGCTCACTAGTATTTACAACTGTTAGATATCATTGAAAAGATTTACTCCAGACAACCAATATTTTAAATGTTGATGTATTTAAGTGATGATAATTGTAAAATTAAGCTAGGAAAAATTTTGGTTCTGTAAACTCTTTTCCAGTATTTCTCGGGACAAGCATTATTAAGTACAGGCATTATTAAAGGAGATCATAAAAAACTAAGGAATGTAGTTATGGTTCTTTGACACTTTGGCAAATTCGAGTCTGTATAACTGGGTGTAGTTTCAGTGATAGTTTTGAATAAGCATTTTTAACTTAGGGGAGATAAAAATAAACACAAAGCAAGGTAGAGTTATGTTTCTTGAACACTGCACTTCCTCTCAAAAGTCTCTATCACTTTGTGAAGTTTACATAAAATCCCTTAAATACGTATCTAGTTATAATCATATTCCGGACAAAGTGAAGGACGGACGTCTTCCTAAGTTCACAATGTGGGTTTTTAGCTCACCTGTCACAAAGTGACAGGGTGAGCTTTTGTGATCGCTTTTCGTCCGGCGTCCGTCCGTCCGTAAACTTTTACTTTAAATGACATCTCCACATAAACCACTAAGCCAATTTCATCCAAACTTCACAGGAATGTTCCTTTGGTGGTCACCTTTAAAAATTGTTCAAAGAATTTAATTCCATGCAGAACTCTGGTTGCAATGGCAACCGAAAGAAAAAACTTTAAATATCTTCTTTTTAAAAACCCAAAGAGCTAGAGCTTAGATATTTGGCATGAAACATCTTCTAGTGAGTGTCTACAAAGTTTGTTCAAATAAAAGCCATGTGGTCAAAATTGGCCCGCCCCAGGGGGTCATTGATTTTTCCTATATGCATATAG